TGCCGAGGGGTCGGTGTGACACGAATTGGCCAGCTTGGACCCTTCCTGTCCCTCGCTTGTCAGCCTCAGCAGAGAAGCCAGGGACACAGACTAGATCATGGGGTGTGAACCCTCCTCCCTGCCCTAGTGTGTATGGGGTGTCCGGCACACATCAGGCTGGGTGGGAACAGGGAAGGAACTTGCTGGACCACTGTTGGGGGCCTGGGGTAAACACAGGCCCTAAGGCTCCCAGGCTGGCAATCAGACACCAGGGCATATGAAACAGATTTTCCTTCCCTCATTGCTTGATGATGGCCTTTTTGCACCCAGCTCCTCACCCTTAGAACCCCATCTGGCCTAGGAGCTATTGTCCACCCACCAGCAATCAGAGGAAGGAGAAGGTGGAATTGCTCTGGCAGAGCCCATCTCCTCCTCAACCTTGCCCCAAACCCAGGAAGTTTTGAAATCAGCCAGCATCTCTCTGCCAGCCCCAGGGAGCTGTGTCGGCGTCAGCTGTTCTCCTGATGCTGTATTGATTTCTGGCAGCAGTTCATTTATAACCAGTGGGTAGTTGAACTTTCACCCCGGCATTTCCTCCTGATGTCTCTGGGAATTGCCGGAGTGAGGGCTTTGGGTATTATTTAAAAGGTGCTTACGGGAGGAAAGGACATGGCCTCATTCATAGAAACTGCAACCCTAGGCTGGGGAGATCTGCCAAGCTGGCAGGTGGAACTTGCTGTTGGTGACTGGCGTGGAAATGCCGGGCAGCGTGGAGGGCTCTGCCGAATGGGGCTGATTTCTTGCCAAACCTTCGCCAGGAATTTCAGGTTTCATTACAAACCAGGACCTCAGGTGCAAAATCCTTTTGGGCCATCAGCATTTCAAGTGAAATGGCAGCTAATTATTATTAATATTATAATAACATGCAGGTACAGCTGAGATCAGGGCTCTGCACAGACACAGTTCCTGTCCCAAAGGGCTCAGAGTCTGACTGGCCAAAGGGTGGGAAGAGAAATAGACGCCCAGAAAGGAGAAGAGACTTGCCCGAGGTCACGCCTGGGAACAGAATGCAGGAGTCCAGACTCTCAGCCCAGCATCCTACTCTTTCACGGATGGGGGAACTGAGGCATCAGGTAGATTAAGTGATTTGCCCCAGGTCTCACAGGGAGTCTGTGGCAGAGCCAGGTTTTGAAGCCAGATCTCCTGTAACACAGGCCAGCGCCTGAACCACAGAAGTGTCCTTCCTCTTTAACTTGGCCACCAGGGCTGTTGACAAACTGGATGTATTACTCTGTAATGAGACCCAGCAAGGGTCACAGGAACTTTGCCCTTGATCACAAGGGTTTTCTCCTGCTCCAGTGCAGAGCCCTCACCACTAGTGGCCATGAATGATCTACCAGAGTAATCCCACTGAACACACCTCTGTTAAATCTAGAGCAGAGCCATTTTCTTTTCTCTGTCTGAGCAATTCTGCATGTCTGCATGACCCTGTTGGGTGTCCTAAGACTGTATAGTCTATCTAGGTCTTGACAATCATTTAAGAACACCTTATTAGATGCCCAAAATAGGCACAATCCCACAATCAAGGAAGAAGGCTGTGCTGGTTAAAAAATTGATGTGGTGTAGAGATAAAGTGAAGGCAGATGGCAAAAAACAATAATAAAAATAATATATAACAAATGGAAGGAAGGTGAAGTTGATAGTAATGAATATAAATTAAAAGTTAAGAATTGTAGAAAATTGATAAGGGAAGCCAAGGGACACAAGGAGAAATCATTGGCAGCAGAGTTAAGGACAATAAGGAGGAGTTTTTAAAAAATATATTAGGAACAAAAAGAACCCTGACAACAGCACTGGTACATTACTAGATTGGAATGGTAGAATTATAAATAATAATGCAGAAAAGACAGAAGGGTTCAATAAATACTTCTGTTCTGCATTTGGGGAAAAAGCAGATGATATAGTCTCATATGGTGATAACACTCTTTCCATTCCACTAGTATCTCTGAAGCATACTAAATACAAGCTACTAAAGTTAGATATTTTTAAATCAGCAGGTCCAGATAACTTGCATTCAACGGTTTTTAAAAAGCTGGCCAAGGACAATTAATAAAAAGAAAAGGAGTACTTGTGGCACCTTAGAGACTAACGTGAGCTACAGCTCACTTCAAGCTTATGCTCAAATAAATTTGTTAGTCTCTAAGGTGCCACAAGTCCTCCTCTTCTTTTTGTGAATACAGACTAACAGGGCTGCTACTCTGAATCCCTGGACAATTAATGTTTATTTTCAATAAGTCTTGGAGCGTTGGGATGACTCTAGTAATCAGGCTGACACTGATCCTATGCAAGATAATGGAGTGGCTGATATGGGACTCGATTAATAAAGAACTACAGGAGGGTGATGTGATTAATGCAAATCAACATGGGCTTATGGAAAATAGATCCTGTCAAACTTACTTGGTATCTTTTTTTAATGAGATTACCAGTTTGTTTGGTAAAGGTAATGGTGCTGATGTAATATACTTAAAATTCAGTAAGGCGTTTGACTTGGTGCCGCACAACATTTTGATTAAAAAACTAGAATAATATAAAATTAACAAGGCACACATTAAATGGATTAAAAACTGGCTAACTGATAGGTCTCAAAATGTAACTGAAAATGTGGAATCGTAATCGAGTGGGTCTATTTCCAGTGGGACCCTGCAGAGATCGGTTTGTGGCCCTACACTACTTAATATCTTTATCAATCACCTGGAAAACAATATAAAATCATCATTGATAAAGTTTGCATATGACACAAAAATAGAGGGTAGGTAAATAATGAAGAGGACAGGTCACTGATTCAGATTAATCAGGATTGCTTGGTAAATGAGGCACTAGCAAACAATATGCATTTTAATACAGCTAAATGTAAAAGTATATATCTAGGAACAAAGAATGTTAGCCATACCTACAGGTTGGGAGACTATCCTGGGAAGCAGTGACTCTGAAAAAGATTTGGGGGTCATGGTGGACAATGAGCTGAACATGAGCTCCCAGTGTAATGCTGTGGCCAAAAGAGCTAATGTGATCCTTGGATGAATAAACAGAGGAATCGAGCAGGGGTACAGATGTTATTTTACCTATTTAATTAGCACTGATGTGACCACCGCTGGAATCCCGTGGTCAGTTCTGGTGCCTCAATTCAAGAAGGAAGTTGATAAACTGGAGAGGGTTCAGAGAAGAGCCACGAGAATGACTAAAGGATTAGAAAACCTGCCTTATAGTGATAGACTCAGGGCCATGCCTACACTACAAAAGTACTCCAATTTTACAGAAGTCGATTTTTGGGAACAGATTGTATAAAGTTGAGTGCATGTGTCCACCCTAAGCACATTAATTCGGCGGTGTGCGTCCACAGTACCGTGGCAAGCGTTGACATTCCGAGCAGTGCACTGTGGGTAGCTATCCCACAGTCCCCGCTGCCAACTGGAATTCTGGGCTGAGCTCCCAATGCCTGTTGGGGTCAAAAATGTGTCGCAGGTGGTTATGGGTAAATGTCATCAGTTAACCCTCCCTCCCTCCGTGAAAACAACGGCAGACAATCATTTCGTGCCCTTTTCCCTGGATTGCCCGAGCAGATGCCATAGCACAGCAAGCATGGAGACCGTTCAGCTCACCGCAGCAGTTATGACCATTGTAAACACCTCGCACTTTATCGTGCAGTTATGCAAAACCAGCACCTGAAAAACCAGGCGAGGAGGCGACAGCAGTGCGGTGATGAGGACATGAACACAGATTTCTCTAAAACCACGGTCCCCGGAAATTTGGAGATCATGGTGTTACTAGGGCAGGCTCATGCTGTGGAATGCCGATTCTGGGCCCGGGAAACAAGCACAGAGTGGTGGGACCGCATAGTGTTGCAGGTTTGGGATGATTCCCAGTGGTTCCAAAACTTTCGCATGTGTAAGGCCACTTTCATGGAACTTTGTGACTTGCTTTCCCCTGCCCTGAAGCGCAAGAATACCAAGATGAGAGCGGCCCTCACAGTTCACAAGCGAGTGGCAATAGCCCTGTGGAAGCTTGCAATGCTACCGGTCAGTCGGTTATCAATCTGGAGTGGACAAATCTACTGTGGGGGTTGCTGTGATGCAAGTAGCCAATGCAATCATTGAGCTGCTGCTATCAAAGGTAATGACTCTGGGAAATGTGCAGGTCATACTAGATGGCTTTTCTGCAATGGGATTCCCTAACTGTGGTGGGGCTGTAGACGGAACGCATATCCCTATCTGGGGACCGGACCACTAGGGCAGCCAGTACATAAACCGCAAGGAGTACTTTTCAATGGTGCTGCAAGAACTGGTGGATCACAAGGGACGTTTCACCAACATCAACGTGGGATGGCTGGGAAAGATTCATGACACTCGCGTCTTCAGGAATTCTGGCCTGTTTAAATGGCTGCAGGAAGGGACTTTATTTCCAGACTAGAAAATAACTGTTGGGGATGTTGAAATGCCTATAGTTATCCTTGGGGACCCAGCCTACCCCTTAAAGCCCTGGCTCATGAACAGGCACCCTGGACAGTAGAAAGGAGCTGTTCAACTATAGGCTGAGCAAGTGCAGAATGGTGGTAGAATGTGCATTTGGACATTTAAAGGGTCGCTGGTGCAGTTTACTGACTCATTCAGACCTCAGCGAAACCAATATTCCCATTGTTATTGCTGCTTGCTGTGTGCTCCACAATCTCTGTGAGAGTAAGGGGGAGACGTTTATGGCGGGGTGGGAGGTTGAGGCAAATCGACTGGTTGCTGAATACGTGCAGCCAGACACCGGGGTGGTTAGAAGAGCATAGCAGGAAGCGCTGTGCATCAGAGATGCTTTGAAAACCAGTTTCATGACTGGGCAGGGTACTGTGTGACACTTCTGTTTGTTTCTCCTTGATGAAAACCCACCCCCTTGGTTGCCTCTAAATTCCCTGTAAACCACCTGCCCTCCCCGCTTCGATCACAGCTTGCTTGCAAAAGGAAATAAAGTCACTATCGTTTAAAAAACATGTATTCTTTATTAATTGATTATAAAAATAGGGAGATAACTCACAAAGTAGCCCGGGTGGGGTGTGGGAGGAGGGTAGGAGGGAAGGAAAAGGCCACTTCAAAACTTGTTGAATGACGGCCTTTTGTTGCTTGGGCTGTCCACTGGGGTGGAGTGGTTGGGTGCCCAGAGCCTCCCCCCGCGCGTTATTGGGTGTTTGGGTGAGGAGGCCATGGAACTTGGGGAGGAGGGAGCACGATTAAATAGGGACTGCAGCGGCAGTCTGTGATCCTGCTGCCATTCATGAACCTCCACCGGACACCAGAGCATGTCCGTTTGATCCGGCAGTAGCCCCAGCGTTGCCTCATGCCTCCTCTGATCTTCCTGCCACCACCTCTCCTCATGCTCATCGGCCGCTTTCCTGTACTCTGCTATTTTGTCCCTCCACACATTCTGCTGAGCTCTGTCAGTGCCGGACGACTGCATGAGCTCAGAGAACATTTCATCACGTGTGCGTTTTTTTCGCTGCCTTATCTGAGATAGCCTTTGGGACGGAGGAGGGAGGCTTGAAACATTTGCAGCTGCTAGAGGAAAAAAAGGGAGTGAAGTATTTTAAAAGATACATTTTACAGAACAATGGCTATACTCTTTCACGGTGGACAACACTATTCACATTACAGAGCACATGTGATTTTGGTACAAGGTTGCATTTTGCATCTTATATTGAGTGCCTGCGGCTTTGGTGTTAGTGATCACACACGCAGTGCCAGGTAACAGAATTTGGCTTGCAGGCGGTCATGGTAAGCCATAGCCTTTCGGCTTCTGCAGCCTTCATAACAGCAGCCCCCTCCTCTCCCATACCAAGTAAAGCAGGTTGAGTTGGCCATTTAGTGCTGCAGTTTTCCTGTTAACGTGCAGCAGCAGAAACCAAACTAACCCCGACCCCCCCACATCCAATTCTCTGGGATGATCGCTTTACCCCTCACCCCACCGCATGGCTGGTATCAGGGAAGATCCCTGCTAGCCAAACGCCAACAGCTCAGCGCCAGTAGCCCCCCCTCCCACTGCGTGGCTAACTGCGGGGAGGATTTCTTTTCAGCCACAGGCAAACAGCCCAGTAGGAACAGCCACCTCTGAATGTCCCCTTAATTAAATTCCCCTATTTCAACCAGGTTACCATGAATGATATCACTCTCCTGAGGATAACACAGAGAGATAAAGAACGGATGTTGCTTGAATGCCAGCAAACACCGGGACCATACGCTGCCAGGCTTTGTCATGCAATGATACCAGATTACTTGCTACTAGCATGGCGTGGTAAAGTGTCCTACCATGGAGGATGGAATAAGGCTGCTCTCTCCAGAAACCATCTGCAAAGGCTTTTAGAGTACCTCCAGGAGACCTTCATGGAGATGTCCCTGGAGGATTTGTGCTCCATCCCCATACATTTTAACAGATTTTTCCAGTAGCTGTACTGGCCACGAATGCATCCCAAGTCTGCAGAGCTACTTAATCATTAAAAAACGCTTGCTTTTATAACATATATTATATTTTAAAAGGTACACTCACCAGAGGTCCCTTATCTGGCTTGGTTGGGTTGGGAGGGTATTTCGGTCAGGGTGATAAAAAGATCCTGGCTGTCGGGAGAACAGTGTGCTGTGTGACCTCCTCAAGCTTGTCCTCCTCCTCATCTTCCCTGTCCGCAAAATCCTCAGGCATGGCGGAGAGTACCCCATCATCGGCGTCCACGGACAGGGGTGGGGTAGTGGTGGCGGTCCCCCTTAGAATTGCATGCAGCTCAGCGTAGAAGCAGCATGTCTGGGGCTCTGTCCCGGAGCGTCCGTTTGATTCTTTGGTTTTCTGGTATGCTTGTCTGAGCTCCTTAAGTTTCACGGGGCACTGTGTTGCATCCCTGCTGTAGCTTCTGTCCCTCGTGGCCTTGGAGATTTTTTGAAATGTTTTGGCATTTCGTCTTTTGGAACATAGTTCTGATAGCACGGATTCCTCTCCCCATACAGCAATCAGATCCAGTACCTCCCGTTCGGTCCATGCTGGAGCTGTTTTTCGATTCTGGGACTGCATGGTCACCTGTGCTGATGAGCTCGCCTGGCCAAACAGGAGATGAGATTCAAAAGTTCCCGGGGCTTTTCCTGTACCCCTGGCCAGTGCATCCAAGTTCAGAGTGCTATCCAGAGCGGTCACAATGGTGCACTATGGGATAGCTCCCGGAGGCCAAAACATTCAAATTGCGTCCACACTAATCCTAATTCGAAATAGCGACGTCGATTTCAGCGCTAATCCCCTCATCGAGGAGGAGTACAGAAATCGGTTTTAAGTACCCTTTATGTCGAAAAGAATGGCTTTGTTGTGTGGTTGGGTGCAGGGTTAATTCGATTTAACTCTGCTAAATCTGACATAAACTTGTAGTGTAGACCAGGCCAAGGAGATCAATCTATTTAGTTTAAGAAAGAGATGGTTAAGGGGTGACTTGATCATGGTCTGTAAGTACCTACATGGGGAACAAATATTTAATAATGGGCTCTTCAGTCTAGCAGAGGAAGGTATACCACAATCCAATGGCTGGAAGTTGAAGCTAGACAAATTAATTCTGGAAATAAGGTGCACATTATTAACAGTGAGAGTAATTAGCCATTGGAACAATTTACCAAGAGTCATGGTGGACTCTCCATCACTAACCATTTTTAACTCAAGATGGGATGTTTTTCTAAAAGATCTGTTTTAGGAATTCTTCTGAGGAAGTTCCATGGCCCGTGATATACAGGAGGTCAGCAATGACCACAATGTTCCCTTCTGGCCTAAGATTTTATGTGGTGCTCAGCACCATAGTATCTGAACACCTCGAGTTCATTATCATTACCCCCATTTGACAGATGGGGAAGCTGAGGCACAGCAGCTGACCAGCAGTAGAGCTAGAAATATAATGCAGGTATTGTGAGTCCCAGTCCAGGACTCTAGCCACTAGGCCACACTGCCACCCCCACACTGCTGAATGTGCTCTCCACGTGGGCCATTAGCTGTGAGCTACTCCGAGTGAAGATGCCTCCTTCCAGACTTGAGTCTTGCATTTCACTGCTTTGCACAGCCCCTGTCTGGAGAAAGTCCAGAGCAAGCTGCGGGTGTCTGATGCTTTGAAATGTTTGGATCTTTGGTGAGCCCTCGGCCTGGGCCTTTAAACATCATCTCACTGCTAACAACACACACACACGCACAGAGGGGCGGCTGTGGGGAAGGGGACAAGGCCACTGCTCCAACCCAGCTGATAAGTCCTAAGTGTTGACAGAAGCAATAATTAGATCCAGTCATTTCTGCTCATCGTCAGGTCTGGTGTATTTATGCCAGAACTTTTTTTTTTCTTTCTTTTTTTCTAATCAGAGCAGAACATGGAATGGAAAGAGCCAGCAGTGAGTGAAAGTCCCCGGATTCTTGTCTTCCATTAGAAAGGTGATCAAATGGCAGCCCAGAGCTCTACCCACCCCAACTTGTGGGAATCCAGTTATGTATCAAAGTAGTCGCACCATCAGCCAGTGCAAAGCGAAGCTACAAAACACTTTTCTGTTTTTCAACATGCTCCTAAATTTCCCACGCGTTCAGCTTTTGGGAGCAACTTCCTCACAGTTGGTCTTTGTCCATTGGTGAATGTTGGAGCAAAATCCCTTCAGGCATTTTGGAGTTATGGGGTGAGGGGGAGGTGGGGGCTTGTTCTGTCTTTTTTTTAATCTGGATGGAATTTTCAAAAGTGACTAGCTATTTGTGATGCCTCTGCATATAGGGGTCTGACTTATTATTATTATTTATTAGGTGTATTTTGGTAGTTCCTAAGAGCCCCCATCACAGTCATGGAGCAGGACCCCATTGTGCTAGGCGTTGTACATTATTTATTAGGGGTATTACGATAGCGCCTAGTAGCCCCAGTCATAGACCACAACCCTGTGGCTTTAGGCACTGTATATTATTTATTAGGGGTATTATGGTAGCACCTAGGAGCCCCAATCATGGAGCAGGGCCCCATTGTGTAGGTGCTCTACAAACACAGAACAAAAAGATGGTCCCTGCCCAGAAGAATTTACAATCTACACTGAGATTAGAGGTGTGCTATGAACCAATGGTTTGGTGACCAAACCGCACTCAAATGGGGGGGGGGGGGGAATTCATTTGCTTCAGGCTGCCTAGAAACAAAAACATGTCAAATTTTCCACTGAAATGAAAAAGTCGATTTTTTTTGTTTCAAGTGAAATGAAACATTTTTAAATCAAGGTTGGATTTTTTTTTTATTTTCAACAGATCTGCTCTAGCTCAAAAGGAATTAATTTGGGGCAGTTCTCTGGCCTGTGTTATACCCCAAGTCAGACTAGATGGTCACAATGGCCCCTTCTGGCCTTGGAAACTCTGAATCTACAAAGTGGCAGGGGCGCATTTTGCCCCCATTCACCTGCTTGCTGGTCTAAGTGTGAGATGTGAATCTGCTTCCATGTGTCCTCTGCACAACAAGATCTTGGGGTCCTCAAATAGCTCCCCCCTGTCTTACCCCCTGCCCACTCCCTTCTCAAAGCACGTGGAAATGCAGTATTTGTCTGTGGGGAGATCAGGCCGGTTTAAAGCAGACCTAGCGGTTGGGATCATTCATCCATTAGGGTGATTTGTGAATTTTTAACTCCTGTTTTAAATTGGTTTTCACCTAAGGAATAATTAGACTGGCTCATTTTCATGGGATAATTGAATAAGGATCATTCTGCCTGGACTTGGTTCTTTGAACCACAGTGAATCTCCCAGCCCCTGGTGAGACTGCCTGCTTTTCCCGGTCTCATTGACCGAAAGGGAAGCATAGATCGTGCATAGCAACTCTGGATTCTGCTGGGTGAGGGTCAAGTGTGATTCAGGGATTCAGATATATCTGAGGCTTCAGAAAAAGGAGCAAGAAACTTCATACCAGGGAATTAGGGCCAGATTTTCAAAAAATCTCCAGGCCAAATTTCCAAGCCTTTAGTACCTCTTTCTATTATTTATTACTGTACTATGGTAGCATCTAGGAGGCTCAGTCATGCACCAGACCCCTTTGTGCCATACAAACACAGAACAACCCTATAATCAGCCACAATCCAGGACAGATAACTCTTGTGATTTTAGCATGAATCTCAAAACATTTGCTGTTTTTCTTCAGGCTTCAGATCATGGAGCCAGATTACTGGTCATGTTTTCAAGTTTGTAATAAAGACTCATAACCCAGAGGAAAAAACAAAAAGAAACAAAACAACCCAACCACCACCATCACCTCAGATGAATTATTGCATTGTAACACCTCATAATTTTTAAATCAGTCTCATGATTTGCTGGGGCTGGCCATGATGTATTATTGTTTATTTAGATTTAAAATAATAAAAAGCCAATGCTTAAGCCTCCCTAACACATCCTTGATTGTACAATAAAACACCAGCAGCATTAAAGTTATAATTTAAACAGGAACTCAAACACCAACACATCTTCTTAGTTGTGGGAACCATATTCTGAGCCCTCTCTATAAATCCTAGCATACACATCTAACTGTATACAGTACACATCTTTTGTGTTTCTGTGTGTGTGTGTATGTGTGTGTGGGGTTGTACAGTGTCTGGAACAAGGGGGTCCTGTGCTGCTGCAATACAAATGATAGCAATAATATATCCTGTTGGTGGCTTGGAAAAATCTCACCTAGGATGTCCAAGATGTCCCCCTTTTTAGTCTTTATGAGATTATAGAGTAACAAATGGAAGGACATTTTCAGTGTGACTGACCCCAACTGTTAAAATTAATCATGAATTAATCAGGTCTTGCAAAATCACAAGACTAGCTTAAAAAAGCACAAGATTTTTATCAAAAACGATTGATTTGGGGTTCTTTTTTTTTGCCTTCTCGTTGCTGAGCCTTTAGGCTCACACCAGGGTCATGTTTTTGAGCTTTTCTCAGCATAGAATCATACAATCATAGAAGATTAGGATTGGAAGAGACCTCAGGAGGTTATCTAGTCCAACCCCCTCCTCAAAGCAGGACCAACACGAACTAAATCATCCCAGCCAGGGCTACCACCTCCCTAGGTAACCCATTCCAATGCTTCACCACCCTCCTAGTGAAATAGTGTTCCCTAATATCCAGCCTAGACCTCCCCCACTGCAACTGCATTATGTGGCATAGAAACTTGCTCTTCTTTCTCATGTAATTCTATGACTTCAGAAGTTGGGTCTTTTAAAAAAGCAATCTACATCAAACATTGTGAGACTTGTGATAAAATTGTGAGAATGGGCAAAACTGGGTTTTCTTTAAGAAAAAAGTATCTGGTTCTATTGTTCAACTAACTGCCTATGTCCCTATAACACTAACCTAGCCACAACCCTGTGTGTCCCTACAACACACACATACAATCCTGTGTCCTTAAAACAAGCACACACACACCTGTATGTGCATATAACCCCCCCGTGTCCTCATAACACACACACAACCGTGTCCTTATAAAACACACACGCCTGTGTATCCCTGTGACACTCACACCCCTGTGTCCCTATACCCCCCCGCATGTCCCTACAACACACACACAACACCTGTGTCCTTATAACATACCCACCCACCTATTTGTCCTTATAACACACCCACACACCCCCAGCAGTGTGTCCCCTTAACACTCACAAACACACACACGTCAAGTGACGCTGCTGTAGTAGTGAACAAGGGATCCACATGCTTTTGCCCCCCGGAACTACATCTCCCAGCATCCCCCGTGGCTCTCAGGAGCCTGCTGGGAGCTGTAGTGCGAGGGTGGAAGGGCTGCAGCTGAGTGTCAAGGGGGCTTGGAAGGCGGAAGGACTACAACTCCCAGAGACCATGGCGAGGGCACATGGGAAGCTGGTCACTAAGGGGGAGATCCCTGAGCTTGGAGGAGGCAGGTAAGGGGCGGGCGAGGGAGGGTGGCGCTGAGCCCTGGGGCCTGTAGGGTGAGGCAGGAGGGAAGAGCTGGATGCTGCCCTGGTGGGGTGAAGAAAGGGAGGTGGGGGAAAGAGAATGCAGCTCCCCCTTTGTCTGCCTTCTCCCCCCCTGCCATGGGGGGCTGGGAGGGGGAGTGAAGCAGGGAGGGGGGGGAGCAAAGACGGGGGGACCTGGGGGGAGTGAAGAAGGGGGAGAGAAGGGGGCTGGGAGGGGGAGCGAAGAAGGAGGAAGTGGAGGGGGGAGCTGGGGAGGAGGGAGGGGCTGGGAGGGGGAATGAAGGAGGAAGCCGTGGGGGTGCTGGGAGGGGGAGTGAAGATGGGGTAGAGAAGGGGGTGCTGGGAGGGGGAGCGAAGAAGGAGGAAGCGGAGGGGGGAGTTGGGAGGCAGAAGCTGGGAGGGGGAATTAAGAAGGGGAGAGAAGAGAGGGAGTTTGTTTTCTCCCCCCCCTTCGGTGGGGAGGTGGAGCACCCTCTCTGGCACAGCTCTCTGGAGCTGCCCCTCCCTGAGTGTGATGCCCTGGCCTAGCTTGCGGCCTGGGCCAGGCTCCTTGATATGACTCACCCTGCTCCCCTCCCGCAAGTCATCCCTGTCTGCATCATTCCGTTTCTCATGGCGTGAACCCAGCATGCTCGGCTTTATCAGCAGCACAGAAATCTGGGGGCAGCAAATGGGCAGGAGACCAACGCGCAAAGTGACCTGCAGATAATAGGGGGCAAATTCAGCCTTGAGCCCGGCCCCTGTGGAGCGGGCAGACACACCACAGATACAAAGGAATGGGGGTTTCATGAGCCCCGACAGCCACACTGCTCCATTAAGATGAGTTTCTCTTCCTTTTGGCTGCTTGGCCCTGCCCTAGTAGTTTTATATACATAACCAAGTCTCAATCGCTGCACGGACAGCGTGGGATCAGAACCAGAAAGCCTCTCCAAGAGTCTTGAGGAGGGATCCCTGGCATGGAAAAATTTGAGAATTGCCCTACTATGCTCAGCCCAATTCAGTGGAGCCGAGCCAGTGGTACCATCTCTGATTGTTCCAGTGGACACATTGCTAAGTTGACAAGGCCTTGGGCTATTTCCAGGCAGCAAAAAATCAAGATTGTGCTGGGGTTAGAGCGGGGGATTTGGCACCAGACAACCTGGCTTCCACCGGTTGTGCCTCTGGCTGGCTGTGTGACCTTCGGCAAGACGGTTAGGTCTGTGTTTTTGAAATTGGCTGCTGATTTTGGATGCCCAGATTGTGACACCTTGGGCCTGCTCTTTGAGAAGAGTGGAGAGCCCACAGCTCCTGTGGATTTCAGCTGAGCCTTTGGCTGCTTAGCCCCTTGTGGTGTAAAATTGGGCACCTGAAATCAAGGGTCTTTGTTTAAAATGTTGGCCATCTGTGAAAGGGAAGCAAAGACTGCACCATAGCTGGGCCAACGGATATAGTTTGACGGGTGAGTATTTTCACAGATAGAAAGTGCCGCATTTGGTTCTCTGTGATAGGACGTGATTTGCATGGATGAAAATGTTCATGAGTCCCAAATGTTTCCCCAATTTTAGCTCTGCTACAGATGGAGTTTACAAGATCTTTCCATCTCTGTTCCCTTTGTACAAAACGACCCGTGCTGGTTGGGATTCATCCGTGCAGTGTCTAGATTGGCTAGAGGTGGTGCCCTAGAGCAACTCGGGGTTCTTCCCCTGCAGCGCTTGGGACAGGGAGTAAGAGGTCAGGGCTGGGTATTGAATTAGAATCTCTAGTGTGTTGCGGTAGGGACTAGCAGAGAA